AGTAGCTGGAAGTACAGGCGTGCACTACCATGCCCGGCTAATTTTTGATTTATTGTAGAGATTAGGTCTCATCAAGTTGCCCAGGCGGGTCTCGAACCCGCGGGCTCAGGCAATCTACTCACCTCGGCCTACCAAAGGCGCGGGATTACAGGCTGAGCCACCGAGCCCAGCTAAAATAACTTTAAAGTTAGGGAAATTTTCTTTTAAACATAATCTTTAGGCTAAAAAAAAAAAGCCTAAAAAAATGTTTTACTCCAATTTTCTTGACCAGGATTATCAAAACACGGGGCAAACCCAACCCTGCCTGTTTCAGTTCTACCGGAACACGCCACATTCACTCAATGTGGGCCACAAACGCAGAGGGCAAGGAGCTGTGCCAGAGACACCAAGGTCCACTATGACTAAAATAGGTGCCACCTGGACCTTGACATCGTTGCTATCTCTGCTCTTTTTTTTTTTTCTTGAGTCAGAGTCTCACTCTCTCGCCCAGGTTGGAGTGCAGTGGCCGCTCCTAGCCACCGCAGCCTCAACCTGCTGGGCTCTGGCGATCCTTCCACCTCAGCCTTCCAAGTAGCTGGAACCACAGGCACGCGCCACCATGTCCGGCTAATTTTTCCATTTTATTGTGAGACGAGGTCACACCAAGTTGTCCAGGCTGGTCTCAAACCCCAGGGCTCAGACAATCCTCTTGCCTCAGCCTCCCAAAGTGCTGGGATTACAGGCTGAGCCACAGCACCCGGTCAGGTGTTCATATTACTAAAAAAGTAGGTCTCATCACTAACTTGTCTTTCAACAATTCTGGGAAATTTTGTCACCCTTTTCTTCTAGTCTCCCTACTCAGCCCTTTCTGGAGCTCTTATTTCCCCTCAACCGTCTTTAGTGTCTCCTGTTCTCCTCCCTTTTCTTATGCTGCATTCTGGGTTTCCGTTTCTTTGAGTTGGGGTCTTTCTCTGTCACTCAGGCTAGAGCGCAGTGGGATAATCATGGCTCACCACAGCCTCTACTTCCTGGGCTCAGGCAAATCCTGCCTCAGCCCCTGGAGGAGCTGGTACTACAGGTGCATGTCACCAAGCCTGGCTAATTTTGTGTGTGTGTGTTTAAGCCGGAGTCTCACTGTTGTCCAGGCTGGAGTGCAGTAGCACGCTCACAGCCCCTGCAGCCTCGACCTACTGGGCTCAGGCGATCCTTCACTTCAGCCTCCCAAGTACCTGGAACCAGAGGCATGTGCCACCATGCCTGGATGGGTTTTTTTCTTTTGAGTTGGCACCTCACTCTGTCACCCAGGCTGGAGTGCAGTAGCACACTCATGGCCCCTGCAGCCTCGACCTGCTGGGCTCAGGTTGATCCTTCCACCTCAGTCTTCCAAGTAGCTGGAACTACAGGCATGCACTACCACACCTGGCTAATTTTTGATTTATTGTAGAGACGAGCCGGGCTTGGTGGCTCAGCCTGTTATCCCAGCACTTTGGGAGACTGAGGCCTGTAGGTTCGAGACCCGCCTGGGCGACTTGGCGAGACCTCAGCTCTACAATAAATCAAAAATTAGCCGGGCGTGGTAATGCGTGCCTGTAGTTTCAGCTACTTGGAAGGCTGAGACGGAAGGATCGCCGGAGCCCAGCAAGTCAAGGCTGCGGTGGCCGGGAGTGAGACTCCAACTCAAAAAAAATAAAATAAAATATATTATAGAGTTGAGTTCTCACTAAGTTGCCCGGGATGATCTCGAACCCATGGGCTCAGGCAATCCACTCGCCTTGGCCTCCCAAAGTGCTGGGATTACAGGTATGAGTCACCACACCCAGCCCATTCTGGTTCTCTTAAGCTGTGTTTTATCTGCAAGATAACCAGAATTTTGTCCAAATGTCATTTTTTTTTCATTTAAGTTCCAGCTGGCTCTTTTCCCCCCAGCATTTTTGTACCCTCTTATGCTTTTTATTCTTTCTTTTATATTTGCAGTTTTCCTAAACATGTCTGTGTAACAAGGATCTGCCTGGTGGTGTTAGCCTGCAATCTGCCACGCTGGTGACTCTCACTCAAAGGGAGACCCATGAGTAGAGAGAAGTCTGCCTGGGGGAGCCCACTCAGTGGGGCTATGGACACACACTGCTGCCGTCAGGGGCTCAAGGAGTAACGCAGCCTGGAGATGATCTCTTATGTTTCTCAACTTCTAGACCCCTTGAGAAGTATAAGTAATACAAATCACAAAGCCAAACAGCCCTGAATGGCTACAGACTTTTAGAAGAGATGTCCTCCTTCCCAGAGCCCAAGCAGACCAGTTTCCTTGTGGGCCAGTGAATGAAGGACTGTTTAGTCTGCTTCTTCACTGGGAGTATCACCCTCTGGAAGGACCAGCCTGACTGATGAGAGGTCCTCTCCCTTTCTGTCTCACAAGGCCCTCTGCTTCACTTTCTGTTCCCATGTGGTTTGTTAACCCGTTGCACTCAAATATCCCCTCTGAGAGGACATCATAAACCTGGCAAACCACTCGGAAGTCCCCTCTCAGGGAACATAAAGAGATTGCTGGTGATTATACAGGGCAAACTTATGCAAGCATGAATTTTTCAAAATCGTATGTTTCCTTGAAGTTTACCATTCAAAAACTATGTCCCACATGCCAAGCTTTAGATTAGTAAGTTGAGAAGTAGTGTTCAGGAATCACAAGTACATCATTCCACACTGCCTTCGAACAACAGACTGGACAATCAATTACATGCCACTAACGTGGGAGGAAGAAAACGAGATTACCTTTTCTGCTCTAATAGAAAACACACCAGGCAGAAGACACCCAACAAAATACTACTGCATGACATGTGTCAATGAACCTGCAATGCATGTCAGTGACTGTTTCACATGTTAACACGTCAGAAAAATATGATACAAAATTTTGATTTTTTGGTCATAAGTTCCTCAATGTCAAACACCAAATCAATGAAATAATCGGTTCCAACGCTATACTATTTAATATGAAGCAGTTCGTTTTTTACTGTTTTGCAAAAAGTGTGGTTGAGTTGCCGGCAGGCAACCTGCAAGTTGCCCCAAGTGCAAACGGCCGAAATCCACAAACAGCACAGGTGCTCAGACAGGCACATTCGCTCAGTGGCCAGAGGAGCTGGGCTTCACATCATTTTCATACTGACCCCAGACACGTCCCTTACCTCCTGCAAGGTGTTACACATTTGTAGAATGTTTTATTTCACTTTCTGAGGGTGCTGTAGCGATAAGGTCTCGAGTCCTCTCTTCCACCACACTATCAAAACCCAAATAGCTACTCCTTTCTCAGAGTCACAGGCTAGGACAACCATTCGCTATTCTAACTAGCCAGCCCTCGTTCCCCCAATTTCTGATTCACCGCCTCCGTCCCTCAGAGGCGAAGAACTGGCTTAGGCCTAAGTCAATCAGCAGAATCCTCTCCATGGCCCGGGGATGCAAGCTGCGTTTAATCAGAACAAACACCAGTACTAGAATGAACAGGGAAAGGAGCCCCACCAGGCTTTCCCACAGGACAGAGATTAAGAGGCTCCTAGCGACTGCCTCTTAAGGGGCCAGCCCTCACAGAGACCATAACAGGGAGGCGAGAACGTATGAGCAACACTGATGAATTCTGAGAGGTAAAGCTGAGACCGGAAGGCAGGAAAACTAGGTCCTAGTCTCCACTGCTGAAGCCACCAGATCAAGCTCTGGCCAAATCCAGTCCTATCGTTTGACTTCACTTCCATGTATTCCCCCTTGTCTAAACCATTTTGAGCTGAGTTTGTCAGTGGAAAGCATTCTTAGGACATGGAAACAAGTCAACCGTTCAAAGTTCAAGAGTGAAAGCAGTATTTTACTCGCTTACCTGGATAACCAATTCCTTTGGCATTTGCATAGGGAACCCCAGAAGATCCAGGGCTATAAACAGGATTCATGATTTCAGGAGCTGAAAGGAAAAAAAAAGTGATTCAGCCAAGTGCGTTTGTTGTCAGATTTTTCTCCAGCATCAGTCTCAAAAAAGCAGGTCACAAGAGTCCTTTCTCTAGCCTACTATAAAATAATGCATTTCACACTGCTTCAGACCAGCAGGGAACAGAACAGGAATGCCCAGCATCCTAATGGATGCCCAAGTAGGGAGGGCACTGTAAGCTTTACCACTCTCTTCGGACCATCAGAAGCTAAGGGGAGAATGCTACCCGTGACCTAAATGTTCCTGTAACAGAGAAAAACAGCTAAGAAAACCAAGATAAACCCAGAGCATGAATTATCATGCAGCTGCTTTTTAAAGTGCTTAAAAACATCACTATACAATGTTGAGTGGAAAACCCAGTAAGGCACTGCATTATGCAGTATGACCTTAAATTCACATCTGTATAGACAGGCATGTGCACCTCTGGCACAAACAGAAAAACGTCTGTGAGGAAATACATAAAAATATGAAAAGTGACTGGGTTTACTGTTCCTTTTGTACTTTCGTGTATTTCTTTTTATTTATTTATTTATTTATTTTTTTGAGTCAGAGTCTCACTCCGTTGCCCAGACTGGAGTACAGTGGCCGCTCCCGACCACCGCGGCCTCAACCTGCTGGGCTCCGGCGATGCTTCCGCCTCAGCCTTCCAAGGAGCTGGAAATACAGCCATGCACTACCACACCCAGTTAGTTTTGATTTATTATAGAGACAGGTCTCACCAAGTTGCCCAGGCGGGTCTCGAACCTGCGGGCTCAGACACTCCTCTCACCTCGGCCTCCCAAAGCACTGGGATGATAGGCTGAGCCACCAAGCCCGGCCGTTCCTGTATTTCCTAAGTAACTTCTACTAAATGTGTTTTTCCCTAACAGACAAGCTGGCTATAGCCCAGCAACCCTATTAACCCATTCAGCGTGCTATCATTCACAAATGTCTTTCCTGAAAAGCTCAAGAACTTGTACAGTTATAACCGTGACTCTACCCCGTCTCCAAGAGTCTCATTAGTATTTGCAGCAAGCTCCTCTGAATATCACCACGCCCTGTGTTCTTCAAGTGTGAGCTTTCGCTCTTGCTCATCTGGTAAATCTTTTTTTTTGAGTTGAAGTGCAGTTGCAAGCTCATGCCCGCTACAGCCTCAACCTGTTGGGCTCAGGTGATTCTTCCACCTCAGTCTTCCAAGTAGCTACAACTACACAGACACAAGCCACCACGCCCGGTTAATTTTTTGATTTATTGTAGAGACGAGGGCTCACCAAGTTGGCTGGTCTCAAACCCCTGGTCTCAGGCAATTCTCTTGCCTCAGCCTCCCAAAGTGCTAGGACTGCGGGCTTGAGGCACCTCAACCACCGGTAAATCTTTTTTTTTTTTTGAGTTGGAGCCTCACTCTGTCGCCCAGACTGGAATGCAGTTGCACCTCCTGGCCACGGCAGCCTCAACCTACTGGGCTCCAGCTCAGCCTTCCAAGGAGCCGGAACTACAGGCACACACTACCAAGCCCGGCTAATTTCTTTTTTGATTTATTGTAGAGACGAGGTCTTGCCAAGTTGCCCAGGTGGGTCTCGAACCCGCAGGCTCAGGCAATTCACTCACCTTGGCCTCCCAAAGTGCGAAATTACAGGCTGAGCCACCGAGCCCAGCTACCCAGCGGTAAATCTTTCACTGACTTATGCGGTCATAAAGATTAGGGTGATCTTTAAGATAAAAGCAGAGTGTGTGGGAGCAGGGGATACCTGGGAACTCTCTAAACTTCCTACTTAATTTTGCTGAGAACCTGAAACTGCTCTAAAATATAATCTACTCAAGGTGGCTTAGCCTGCAATCCCAGCACTATGGGAGGCCGAGGCGAGTGGACTGTCTGAGCCTGCAGGTTCGAGACGAGACCGGGCAACTCGGCGAGACCTCATCTCGACAATAAATAAATAAATAAAGATTACCGGGCGTGGCAGCATGCACCTGTAGCTCTGGCTCCTTGGAAGCCGGAGGCGGAAGGATCGCCAGAGCCCAGCAGGTCGACGCTGGGGTGGCCATGAGTGTGCCGCTGCACTCCAGCCCGGGCGACGGAGACTCTGGCCCAAAAGAAAAAAAGACAAGCCAGAAGCAGAAGTGGGCACCAAAGCCCCAGCTAATGGGAAAACCAAGGCGGGAGGACCACTTGAGTCCAGCTGGGCCACACAGTGAGATTCTGTCTCCAAAATAAACAAAACACAACACAGAATGTGTATTTACTTGCTTGTTAGCGTATGCCTTTCCCACACTCCCATGAAGCAAGGAACCAGCATGTGGTTTTCTTTATAGCAGTATCTCCAGCACCAATAACAACGCCTGGTGCAAAACTGGTACAACGACCCGACAGGCTTTGTAAAACACAAACGCGCTTCACAACACTCCAGGCACTAAATTCCATGACCAAGACAAAATACAAAAGCAAACCACTTCCAATTTTCAGCTCATCTGACTCGTTTAGAACATTTACAACCAAGTAGTCCACTACAAAGAATAATATACCAGGTCACATCCTTTGTCTCTGTACAAGTCCTGGCCTCAGTTGGGAATACAGCAGCAACCTCAGTGACTAGGACATTCATTACCTTAATAACTTGTCCAATTTTTATTTAACTTCTAAAACAAAGCCAGATGCCAGATTTGCCATGACGTCTACAACTAAAATAGGTCTTGACCAACCGACAGCACCGATGACCGAACTCTGCCCGATGACCACGTCCTCCTCTATCGGCGCTGGCCCACATGGCAGCCACCTGCCAAGCATGGCTGCTGAACGCCTGAAAAGTGGGCTAGTGTGGGAACCGACCCTCTAGCTTTAACTTCAACTTAAACCGTCCACACACAGCTGGAGCTGTACAGTGCAATTCTACAGACTACAGAGGGGAGAAAGCAAGTACTGGAAGGCACAAGAGCACACAATCAACTGCTGTCTCATGCCACAGCTTAGGAATAAATAAATTGGCAACTGCCCATCCCTATTCCCCTGCACTTGTAACTCATGCTTGGCAGACCTGAAACATAGACATTTGGAAACCTTCAAATATTTCATCTACTTTTCTGGTTCAATGATCGTCTCTAAAGAAGTGAATACTTCCCAAACGTTATTTCTCTGTCCAAAGGCCACAGAGGAAAAAAAGGCCAGTCCCTGCTGTTACAATCTAGAAAAGTGCCATCCAACAGAACCGTCGGCAAAGATGGAAATGTATATCTGTACTGTTCAAATCCAGTAACCGAATTTTTGGCTTAACTTTAATTATGCAGACTCATGTAGATAACAGGTATTGTACTGGACAGCACAGGCCTATAAATAAGACAAAATGCATGAGCAACAACGATACAAGGCAAAGGAGTGTTAGGAGTTACCAGAGAACAAGGTGCCCTGAGGGCTGAGACCGGAGAGCAGAACTTCAATCTAGGAGGGGAAAAATGGCCAGGATAAACCTGATTACAGGAGCAGCATTTCCAACAAGCGATGGATGGGACTCAATCGGCCACAGCAATGAGAACACGCAAGATGTCTTTCAGGAATACTGGGCCATCGGGTTTGCCTGGCGCTTGGGCTACGTGTAAAGAATCAGCAGCAGGCCGGGCTCGGTGACCCAGCCTGTAAACCCAGCACTTTCGGAGGCCAAGGTGAATGGATTGCCTGAGCTGGCGGGTTCGAGACCTGCCTGGGCAACTTGGTGAGACCTCATCTCTACAACAAATCAAAAATTAGCCGGGTGTGGTAGCGCGCGCCTATTGTTCCAGCTACTTGGAAGGCTGAAGCGGAAGCATCGCTGGAGTCCAGCAGGTCAAGGCTGCGGTGGCCAGAAGCGGCCACTGCACTCTAGTCTAGGTGACAGTGAGACTCCAACTGAAAAAAAAAAAAAGAATCAGCAGCAGATGATCAAGGAGACAAGGCTAGGCTACCACCGCCAGGTGGAGATGTGGACTGTGGACCAGCAGGAACTGCCATCTGGCAGGTGACAAAGTTCAGGAACAGCACAGGTTGACACAGAGCTATCGAATGACCTCACTATTCCACTACTAAACAGAGACCCAAGAGAAGTAAAAGCACATCCTCTGCCTAGAGCTGTACATGAAGGTTCATAAGCAGCATTCATCGTAATGGCCCCAAACTGCAAACCCAAAGGAAGGACTGGACACCAGGAGCCTCTCCTTCCATGACCTGACTTGACACAGTCTAGACCACTAATAATTCAATTCTATAACATCTACACTTGCCACTAAAAAACTGGACAGAATCACATTTGAATTTTGGTAAGTTTCAAACTACCCAGAAGTCATTTTTCTCTGCAGGCATTTTTACTTCACCAGGGGCTGATAAAAATTTCCTAAAGTGACTTAAAAAGTTTTAATGAATAAAAAATTAAAGGCCGGGCACGATGGTTCATACCTATCATCCCAGTACTTTGGGAACCCGAGGTGAGAGAACTGCCTGAGCCCACAGGTTCAAGACAAGCCTGGCCAAGTTGGTGAGACCTTGTCTCTACAGTAACTCAAGAAAAATTAAGCCAGGCTCGATGGCTCAGCCTGTAATCACACGCTTTGGGAGGCTGAGGTGAGTGGATTGCCTGAGCCCCTGGGTTCGAGACCCGCCTGGACAACTTGGTGAGACCGCATCTCTACAATAAATTAAAAAATCAGCTGGGCGTGGTAGCACGTGCCTGTAATTCCGGCTACTCGGAAGGCTGAGGCAGAAGGATTGCCCGAGCCCAGCAGGTCGAGGCTGCAGTGGCTGGGAGCAACCACTGCACTCCAGTCTGGGCAACAGAGTAAGACTCTGACTCAAAAAAAAAAAAAAGAAAAGGAAAAATTAGCCGGGCATGATGGTGCATGCTTGTAGTCCCAGCTACTTGGAAGGCTGAGGCAGAAGGATCACTTGAGCCCAGCAGGTCAAGACTGCACTGGCCGTGAGCATGCCACTGCACTCCAGCCTGGGCAACAGAGTGAGACTCCAATT